TGTTATGAGTAAAATATGAATGTTCTCGATAATTATAAGTATGCTAGTATAATTAATAGGATTATAAATAAGATAATATAATTATAAATATGATTATGATGATTATGTGTATTATCATTAGTACTATCAATATATCTGAAATTTTATCTTTTTTTGTCTTTTGTAAAATGAAATGTCCCAGCAATACACGGTATTCAAAACGCTTATATATAAATAAAAAACTTGACTTAAAAAAGACAAGTTGGATATATCTGAATGGATAATATCATTATCATCATATAATGGATAATAATGTTAATATTATAAAGTGAACAATTCTGTGTATGTAGACAAGCATTCATGAGGATAGGAACTTAACTATTGACAAGCTCCTTGTATTTGTGATCTATAAAAGAAAAAACGGTATTACAGAGGGTGGAGAAAACCACCCAACACATTATAGGGATTCCACTTCCTGCCATTATGGACATTCAGAGGTAATGATGTCTGCGTAAAGCTCACCGCATCGTTAAGGACCCCTTCCATCCAGCCCACAAACTGTTTACTCTTCTTCCAAAGGGGAGGAGGTTCTGGTGCCTGCAGTCTAAGACTAGCAGGCTAGGGAACAGCTTTTACCATACAGCAGTTTCCTTGCTGAACTCCTCAGTTTGTTTGTCCCCACACATATGCTGATGTCTCCCTTGACAATATATGATGTATTTTGTATAATTCTCTGTGCATCTGTATTTATATTCAATGTGTCCATGAATATTTTGTACAGTTGTATATGTTCATATATGTGCAGTCACTCTTATGTTTATGTGCTTGCGTACATACATTTTCCATTGACATATTCATAGATGCCTTGCATATTTGCATACATATATTTATATTTTACTGTTGTCTTGCACTCTGGTTGGATGCTAACTGCATTTCATTGCTTGGATCCATGGTAATGACAATAAAGTTGAATCTAATCTAATCTAATCAAGACATTACCTGCCAAAGTAATGAATTCAGAACATTCTTCTGTCCTTCCTCTGATATAATTCTATGTTTGAGCATTGATGAGCTCATGGATTTCAATGCATGGGCCACAGCATAAATTGCATTGTAGATGCTATAGCTATGAGGAGTTATGCTCATGTCAAAGACAGACCTAGGAAGAGTCTCCAGCTTCTCCTCCCCACTGCAGAGATTCCAAACATTTTCCTCTTCCAAGGAAGTTGGGAAGGAACAATCAAATGCCTGTCTCCAAAAGTCCTTAATAAAACCATCTCTGGTTTCCACATTAGGGTTTCTCATCTGAAGAAAATGTTGAAAACCTACCACCTCCTTTGACTCGGTTTCAAAGGCTAAGGAACCATGAAGGATATTTATATCCCAAGATCGTTGAAAGTGAACAGAAGTGAATTCTATCTGTGCGGTCATGATCCAGACTTTCCCTGTCTTCATTTCTTTGTCTTCAACATCCAAAACTCTGGGAAACATTCTCAAAAAGATTGTAGTGTGAATTTCACCATGTAAAATTACAACACTGGCAAAGCTATCACTTATGAAGATATACAGTTTGGCCCATGATTCCATAATTTCATGAATGCCACTTTTAAAAAACACAGTTGGGAATGGTTCTATAAAATCAAAACAGATACCACTTTGAGAAAACTTGGGAAGTTCTTTCTGTACAAACCAGAGAGCATTGTCATCTGGTATGAAAATGACACCAATCCAAGTCCATCTGAAAAGCAAAAGCAGTTGAAGCATCCCTGTATATTGTTGGTTTCTATTAGGGAACATCCATTGGAAGAAGACTTTTTGGGATGGGTCATTAATCAAAAGAGAAGATCCATATCCAAGCTACAAAAAAGAAAAAAAAAGGTAGTCTAAGTACATAGGATTTGAGTATGCAAACTTTTATTGTCTGAAGGTTGATTATCCATTTTGTATTTTGAAAAAAAAAGTGGAAAAAGAAGAATTCCTCTTAGCAGTGGCAAAATTCAATTTTTTTTAGAACCAGTTCTGTGGGTATATCTTGGTGGCAGGGGAAAAGATAATGTAAAATGTCCATTCTCACCCCATTCCAGGGGAAGGATACTGCAAAATCACATTCTTTCCTCACCACATTAACTTGCTTTCCAGCTCCATTCTCCTGCACAGGGCAACAAAAGAAGACCCAGCTGATCAGCTGGGACTCAGGAGGCAAAGAGTAGATGGGGATGGGGCCAGTCAGAGGTGGCATTTTCCGGTTCTCCAACCTACTCAAAATTTCTGCTACTGGTTCTCCAGAAAGTTTGTTCTTTTCATTTGTTCTTTACTTCTTGTTGCAAAAATCACTCATATGCTACAATAAAGATAAATCTCCACCAAAATAATTACCCAAGAATGGGAAAAGACCAAATTAGGACGGTAACAGTGGACAGTAATCTTTTCAATCAGGACATGGACAGTGTGCAACATCAATTGGTACTTTTTAAATATGGAGACTATATCAATCAAGAATATTATCCATTAAGAGTTGTAAATCTAATCTTACAAAGTTTCTCTTCTGGAAATTGATAACTAGAGCATACAAAGCTTTTGCTAGAGCAATACTTGAATAGAGCTCATCAGTCTGGAATCTGCACTGTACATCAGACATTAATACAATTGATTGAGTCCAGAACTATTTCACGAGAACAGTACTACAGTCCCATGCTAACAACAGAATACCCTATGTCACTATGCTTGAAATTTTGGGCTTGGACAAACTTGAACTACGCCACCTATGGTTGGACTTAAGCATAGTACACAAAATTATCTGCTACAATGTCCTACAAGTCCATGACTACTTCAGTCTCAACTGCAACAATATAAGAGCACACAACAGATACAAAGTCAATGTAAACTGCTCCAAACTTGATTGGAAAAAGTACGACTTCAGCCACAGAGTGGTCAATGCCTGGAATGCACTACCTGACTCTGTTGTTACATCCTTTAACCTCCACTCCTTCAATCTCAAACTATCCCTATTGACCTCACCCTATTCCTAAGAGGTCTGTAAGGGGTGTGCATAAGTGCACAATTGTGCCTACCATCCTTGTCCTATTGTCCCCATTTATTTGTACCTATTTCCTGTATTCTTACTCATGCTTATAACTATTATCTTGTAAGTGATTGACAAATAAAATAAAATAAATAAAATATTATAATGATTTGGAGAGTGGTGTTAAGACAGAACTGGAGTATGTTCCTCTCAGGAATTAAATCATATCCTTGCTGGTAGAAGTAGCATAGCCATTTTTGTCAAAAAAAATCGAGGTCGTATACTTATTTTAGTAGTATGACTTGACAAAATGAGCAAGTGCATTCTTGTGGCACTCCTTTCTCCAAATTTACTGTGCTTGAAAAGGAGGTTACATGCTACAAACAAACAGGGGTTTGATAATAAAGTCATGTCCACAAAGTGGCATATTTGACTCCCCTCTGGTAGAGGCTGTGGCTTTGAAATCTCTTTGCAGCCAACTCCATAAGCCTTCACTTCCTATTGACAAGTGGAGAAGTGCTGCCTGCTTCAAATTTTGTCCCCTTCATGAATGAAGGCAAATATCCCATGACAATGTTGCAAGATCCAATCTGGGTTGATCACCAGGATTGGAAGTTTAATCTTCTAAGCTTTTGGAGTCATGCTCAAACACATCTTCAGGGAACTCATCTCTAGTAGAACGTGTCTACATTGCTGAAGCTGGGTTCCAGAACAAGTCTGAAAACTCAGAAGAAAAAAACCTCAGATTGATTGATGACTGGGTCAGATTGGATCTATGCCCCTTTCTCAGAACTCCAGGATGGGTGCTTTGATGTGCTTTTTTAAAATAATTTTTAAAAGATTCACGTTCAGGATTCATATTTAATGCACAAAATAAACACCCCTTTAGGAGGATGACACTTTTGTCCCAAATTAATAAAAATTCTTAATGAACAAAGCAAGTAAGCCCCACCTGTCTTTTAAAATCTGATGCTCTAGGTGTCAACCTTACCTGAGGTAACTTGTAGATGCTCAGAATGGTTGCCATGAAAAAACATGCATTGGTGTCAGGCCCCCCAATCACAGCTACAGTAGTACTTTGAGCATTGCATTTATAGTTTGGAATGAACTTGTTCCATGTGGAGAGGAGCTCCAGTGAAGCAAGATAAGTTAAGCTTCTAGTGAAGTAGTCATTATAAATGTTGAAACCCAGAGAGATGTTGCGTAGCATCTGAGTATCATCATTGATCTCCTTCACAGCAAAGACAAGAGCCAAGATGTGCTGGTAGGTCTGGGTCAAATATCTGTAATGAGATTTACCTCCACCATTGAATTCTCTTTATCTAAGTCTTGATAAATTCCTATTCCTTTAATATATTGTTACTGTATTTTTAATATTGCAGAATCATAAGATATCTGGAGTGAAACTGAAATACTTTGGCCACCTAATGAGAAGGAAGAACTCACTGGAGAAGAGCCTAATGGTGGGAACGATTGAGGACAAAAGAAGAAGGGAACGACAGAGAATGAAGTGGCTGGATGGAGTCACTGAAGCAGTAGGCATGAGCTTAAATGGACTTTGGAGGATGGTAGAGGAGAGGAAGCCTGGAGGAACGTTCTCAATGCGGTCTTGATGGGTCAGACATGATTCTGCAACTAACAACAAAGATATCTGGGCAATTTCATGATGGAACTCAGGCACAAATATACCAACACCTAGCACAAACCCTTTTCAAAACCTAGCATAAAAATGCATGCATTTCAGTGAGATGCTTTTAAATCTCCAGCTAACTATATTTATCTAGGTGTTGATTCCAAAAATGCATGTCAGTGTTAACTTTCATTTTTAACCAGAATATATCTGTTAGAGAAAATAAGTGACCTTAGGTATGAATGGAAAGAGTTCTACCAACCACAAACCTTAGCAGGAAATATAGTTTAGTCTGCATGCCCTAATCCTAGAGATAGCATTTCCATTGGTTGAACATCCTCATTTTGAAATTTAAGTTTCTTATTATTCCAGCCATCTTTCAAGAATGCAGCTTGGTTGCAAATTCATCTTCTGCCACACCCTATGTTCAAATCCCACCCTGATATTGTTAGTTTTACTGATTTATATTTTTAATAATTTTCAGTTGTCCTTGATGAAAGATGGAATGTTTTTATCATGGAAATCTTATACTTTACGATTTATGGTTTTAGCTTATGATTTATAATTTACCACTTTGTTATTTGTATGTGCACTAAGAACTTCTGCATCAGGGACAAATTCCTTGTGTGTCCAATCACACTTGGCCAATCAAGACTATACAAATAAAATATATTCCAAATAAATTAGTATCAATCCCCCTTGGATGCTCAGGAAAATGGAAAGGAATAATTCTCTTAAAATTTATTGAAAGTTCTAGAAGATGTATAATGAGAATAAAGTAATATGTTACAAAGAAGTGGGGAGGGTAAAATGAGCCTCAGTAATGTCCAACCATATACAGTTTAACAGATCATCTTTCTTGGGAACATGATGTAAAGTGGAGTCTCTTTCACTGGATGAATATTAATTTATAGCTCATTCAAGCTTAAAGGATAGTAAGTCCCTTAGTTTGACTGAAAAGTCATGGGTGCAAATTTTACGAGACACTTATCTGAACCATTTGATTAAAAATACCAATTGCTTACAGGAGATCATCAATGACTTCAAAAGAGGGATGCCTTTCAAAGTTGAGAGAATTGGAAAACATGAAGCTTTGTGAACTAATGCCAGCTATGATAACATCCCCTGGCTGATAATATTTATGGTTGATGTTCCGTGGATCACTGTTCATGCATTTAGCAACTGGAATATCACATGATGTCCAAGGAAGCAGTATGAGAATCCAGAGAATAAAGTTCATGATCTTGCATTTACATCTTCTTAACATCAAGTCACCTATGTTATTTCACTCATTCAAGTGTTGGCATCCTTGCATAGCTAGCAATATCAGTTTGATTAATAAATACAGAGCTCCCAATTGCTTTAAAATCCTTGAGCCAATGTTCCAGCATAGATTAAGAAAAATCACCAATCTTGATTTTGTTTTATTAGTCGCTACCAAAAAATCCCTTGTCAACTGAGGAGTGTTCCAAGTAATCATCATCAATTAGATAATTATGGGGAATTTAAATATCTGCTTAATATTAGAATTTCTTTTGTATAGCAGGAGAAAATCATTTTTCAACCTATCATTTGAACAAAACTTTTCTCTTCTCCTAAGAAATTTCAGAAGAATGCAACTTTCTAAAATGAGATATGAGAATATTTAGCAGGAGTATTTCCATGTGGGGTCGAAACAGGCAACAGGAAAAAAAAAACAATGCTGCAAGGAAAGAAACTCTTTGGGACTTGTTTTAAGATATCACCTTTGCTATTCATATATTTATTTCAGCTGAGTTTGTGAGGTTCAGATTCAGACTTGGGTCACTATGCTTCAGTTCAAAATTTTCTATTTTCTATCCCTGCTAGCATATGATAATTCACTGATATTTTTTACATGAATTCATCCACCCTTACACCCAAAATATCAATCAAAGAAGGTTGCAAAATTTAGTAATTTAGGTATGAGAACAGTCATTTAGATAACATTGGGTCCCCATGACAATCCTTTTCCTATTGACCTTTCTTTCAACAATTTGAGTGGGACACCTGCAACATTACAACTGTATCATGAATAATGGTAACAATAATATCATTCAAAACCAGTTTGCCTAGTTCAGAACTGAAAATGTGAGCGTGCATGAACACACCTGCTTCATGTGCACATGCATGCTTCTCACAAGCATAATTGCAAACACACAGCAATTTCATGTATGTGGTGAGTAG